TTTTCTAGTCTTTGAATGAAGTTGGTTTGGAAACATATTCAGCGATGCTTCATCTCCTGCTTTGCGTTTGTGTGTGCGTCGATTCAGAGGAGACTCAGCAGGGACACACAGAGCCTTCTCCGAGATGCAAACGTGCTCGTGAAGCTCAAAGTCTGAAATGATGAGCGACACCCAGGTCGCTGCAGCTTCCTGCGTCTCAGTACGTCTGCAGACACACCAGATCCACGCCCACCGGACCTTCTTTTATTTACAGTCTATAGTTACTGTTCAGTCTTCCTCTTTGTTTTCTTTTATTTGTGACGTGTGCAAATTAGAATTAGAATTCAACTTTATTGTCATTGCACATGCACAGGTACAGGGCGACGAAATGCAGTTTGCATCCATCCAGAAGTGCTTTAGTGATACAGATATATTACAATATATATTAGCAATAATATAGATATGTGAGTATATTACAGAAAAAGTTCATATTACTGCGTAAAACCCAAACAACAAACTCCAAACACTAAAATAAAACCGGTGACGTTCTCGGCCGGACGTTCAGTCTGCGAGAAGTGGCGGAAGTAAACAAAATAAAGTCGCTTTCCACGTGTGTCTGAGCAGGAAGTGAGTGTGTGAGCTGAGTGTGTGAGCTGCGGCAGCAACGATGCCTTCAGTTCAGTATCTGAGAGAGTTTATCAACGAGCGACTAACTGCTGCTGCTGAACAAATATTCTTGGAGTTTGAAAAAACGATCGTCCAGTACGAGGAAGAGATCGACCGTCAGCGCAGACTGCTGGATATCACCTGGAAACCCCAAATCAAGCTGCACAGGACAGGTGAGTGTCCCTCTGAGGGAGCATCCTGATCACAGCTCTGCGGGACGTTTAACCAAACTTTTGTTTAAAGTGTGACGAAGTAGTGCAGTGACGTCATAAACTCGTGTTTTATTCACATCGTGTTTAACACTTTTCACTAGTTGTGAAACATGAGCTCGTTTTGAACTTGATGGCAGCAGCAGCTCTTAAGGAGGCACCGCCGATCATGTGACCTGTCAGCAGCTCGGTCACATGATCGGCTATATGAGAGAGAGGCTGAGCGTCACCCACGTGCAGAAACAGCATCTGCGTGTTCGCTGTTGTAAGTGAAATGAGTTTCTTTGGTCCTAAGGAGAGTGCACGCTGTCTGCTCCCGTCCATGGGGCGCCGTTTGTAAAGTGCTGAAATTAACGGCAACATTTTTCCACATTTAGCTCAAAGCCTTACAAAAACATGTTTTTTCCAGTAATCTTTTACAGCATATTTGTACCTTTTCATCAAATGTTAAATCTAAATGTTAAATCTATATGTTACAGAAAACTGAATGTTGAGGCTAACATGCAAATTTATTGTACGGATCAACGGAAATACCAAAATAAAAGCTTCCCGAAAACCTCCGGTGCAAAATTGTGTCTGTTCTCCTCCTCACTTCTCCCCGCCATGAGCTGCTTCACTTCTTGCCTACGATCGCTGGACATGTGCTGCAGCGATTGTGAAGTGGAGACTGCAGCTGCTAAGAGTGCACTACTGCTGAACCTTTGGATGGCCGACAAAAACGGATCTTCCGATGTTTTCAGCTAAATCGCCGGACGTGCTTTCTCATGGTCGGGTTATGGCTGAATTCCAGTGGATTGACGGTCCCGCCATAATAAACGTTTCAGCCCTAAACCTAACCTTATCCCTTACCATAACCTTGTTCTTAAACTTAACTAGCAGTTAAATGACGTAAAATAGTGTTTTCCAAATCGATTTTTAGAAAATGAACGAACATGTGTAGATCGAGTCTACACGGTTCTCACGTACTGTCCTTTTTCCGATGCCGTCATTTAGCCGAAAGCATAAAATGTTGACAATTTGTCACCTAGCGAAAATTATTAGGCTTAGGGAGTGAGAACGTGTCTGACCACTACCGGCTCACTTTGCACCGGAGGTTTTCGGAAAGCTTTTATTTTGGTATTTCCGCTGATCCGTGCATGTTAGCCTAAACATTTAGATTTAACATTTAAAATTCTGTTTTAAATATGATAAGTTACAAATATTTCACTAAATGTTGTAAAAAAGGACTTGTTTTGAGCTAAATGTGGAAAAATGTTGCCGTTAATTTCAGCATGTTTCACTTTACAAACGCGCCCCATACCCGTCACCTTCATGCAGGTGTTTGAAACCTTGAAGCTCCTTCAGACCCTTGAACCTGTGACTTTGTGCCGAGCAGAGCTCTGGTTTGCAGACACGTGTGCAGAAATGTGCTGAACGCTCCTGGTTTAGCTCATGTGGAGCTCAAAGACAGGGAGTCTCGTTTTCTTGCCTCTCACCTCTAACCAGTCTCTCAGATGGCCCCGCCCCTCCCTAATCCTGGTTCTCCTGGAAGTAACTTCCTGTTAAAAGGGGAGTTTTTCCTTCCCACTGTCGCCAGGTGTTGTTGTTGTGGTCCCCGCTCTAATATTGTAGGCTGTCACTTATCACCTGATATTAACATATTCTCTAATGTTGCTGTACGAGTAAAGGTGGTGCTGTGGGAGGATCTTTAACAGTCGCCTGCAGGTTATACGTCTTTCTCCCTGTGTGGCGTCTCCTGAGGCAGAGGGCTCTTTTTGACTCGCCGCCCGCAGGTGCATCAGGTTAAGTTGTTTCCATGGTGAAAGTTTTCTGTTGATTGAGTATGAAAAAGTTCATCCCACCATTCTGAAACAACTTTGAGCTGAATGTCAGTCCAGGAGGTGCTGAAGTACTGCACTCACCTGCGCAGGTGCTCTGTGCTCTTCAGTCACTTCAGCTGCAGCGCAGCCATTCAGACGGGGCCTCTGGCCTTCATGCTGCAGTGTGACAGCGTCAGCTGAAGGAGGCTGTGAAGTGGGAATCGTACCCAAACACATCACAGACAGACGGAGCTTTTCAAAATAAAGTGTCAGTTCAAAGACCTGGATGGTATTTTCTGTGTATGCTTTTATTATAAAATATGACAGAAGGGAGGGTGTTGGTGTGGCGTTTTGTTTCCCGGTGTTTGGATCATCGTCAGCGCCGAAGAACAAACTGAGACTTCCAGCTCTGTGTCAGCCTCTGAAACGATTCTCTTTAGCCTGTAGCTTCACAGGCACTTGAAGCCAAATGCAACTGAAGCTTTGGCCAGCAGGGGGCAGAGTCTCACCTGTGTCTGTGCTGCTGCTGCACTGTCTCATGTTTCTGTATTTCTTTTGAGTCCTGCCAACACTGGCACCTTTTCCACCAACATGTTCTGAACACTGTTTACAGCTCTGTAAATCATCATCATCTCATATTCCACCGCAGTCTGTGATCAGGCAGTGAGGGTGGAGACCCAATCAGAGCGAACGGAGTGAAATGTGAGCAGAATCAGACGTTTGCGGCTCTAAGGTTCATGACGAGGTTAAACAAAGGTCGTGCTGGATGGCACCACTGTCTGCAGTGAGATTAAGTGAAGTTTATTTATACACAAAGTGCTGAACAACAATTACAACACAATGTTAACAAGGCGCTATATTAAAAACAGAATTTAGGGTAAAGAAACACAAAAACAAGAGAACCTCTGTCCTGGATTACACAAAGGTTTTAACAGCGTCGGCCGTCCCAGAGCCTCAGGCTGCTGCGAGGCAACGCCGATAGATTGTGAGCGAAGACTGCGAGCAGCAGTGTGTTTGACAAGAAGCTGAGATAAATAGTCTGGAGCTTGCTCGTTTAGTGCTCTGTGTGTAAGTGTGAGAACGAAAATCAACCAGGAGCCAATGTAAAGAAAATAAAAGGGGGAAATGTGAGCTGGCTTCCCAGCATGCATCTGGAAGCGGCAGCTTTTGGTTTTGCTTACAGGCTTACAGACACTAAGCCTGTAAAGAGGGGTTCACAATAATCTAAGTGCGCTCATACAAATGCATGAACACTTCTCCATCTCAGAGGAGACCACAGCTGGCAATTTAGAGATGTTCCTTAAATCAAAGAAACAGGAACGCGAGATTTTATATGTGAGTCCAAGGAGGACTCAAATACTACAGCAAGGTTATGAGCAATGGTCTTTGCAGACTGATTGATACCTGCTAAAGAAAAGGATGTAAAAGGAGAATAACGGTGGACCCAGGGTGTGACCCTGAGGGACCCCACAGGTCAAACAATCAGGGCAGGAGGAGGAGCTGCTCGCCCCAGAATGAGGAAAACCACATAAGTGCTGAGCCAGAAACAGCAGCCAAACCCTGTTAAGTAAAATATTATAACGTACGGTATCAAAGGCAGCGCTGAGGTCAAGCAACACGAGTACAGAGCAGTTTCCTGCATCAGATTTCAGTGGAGTGCTGCTTCTGACGAGCAAACTGAAAGGGATCAGAAATCTGTAGTGTTCATGAGAAAGATCTGAAGAGATTTGTAACAACGTTTTCTAACAATTTGCCAATAAATGGTAAGTTTGAAACAGGTCTGTACTTGCTGGGAGAATCAATTAGGTTTTTAAGTAATGGAATTACCTCAGCATGCTTAAAGTAAGATGGGACACGAGCGTGCCTCGGCGAGCTGTAAATGATGGACAGTAATGGAGATCTCTAACCAGGCTCTCTTTATATGAAACATTAGGCTAACAAAGAGGTTTAGTGCGATTGGACAGAATGAGGTAAATGACTCAGAGCGCTCAGGGCCATCTTCATGAGGGAAAGAATCTGATCTTAAGTCCATCACCTTCACTTTATTTATTTACAGGTTAAACATGTTTAAGGGTTTTGCTGTGTTCCTCTCTCCCTCCAGACGTCCCACAGCAGCAGGTCTGTAAGCAGGAGAGGAGCTCCAGTGTGGACCAGGAGGAACCAGAAGCTCCACAGATTAAAGAGGAACAGGAGGAACTGTGCAGCAGTCAGCAGGGAGAGCAGCTGGGACTGAAGAAGGAGACGGATACCTTCATGGTGACTGCTGCTGAGGAAGGAGAGCACAGTGAACCAGGAGGAGACGGGGAGCAGCTCCTCGCTCACAGCTCTGCTGGAGCCGAGAGTCAGCATCAGGAAGGAGGCAGGAGTGACACATCAGGATCAGAAATCCATGCAAAGACAAAGAATTCTGTCAACAAATCCGGAACCTCAGAGCAGGCTGGAGTTAAAAAGACTGTGACCTGTGACATTTGTGGGAAGACCTTCAAGTTTAAGTCTCACATGGAGCAGCACTACCGGGTCCACACGACTCAGAAGCCGTACGCTTGTCAGACATGCGGGAAATGTTTCATTCAGAGCGGCGTTTTATCCGTCCACATGAGAACGCACACGGGGGAGAAGCCATATTCCTGCGAGCGCTGTGGGAAACGTTTCAGACACAACTGTTCCTTCCTCGCCCACATGAGGAGCCACACGGGCGAGAAGCCATACCCCTGCAACGTTTGTGGGAAGAGATTTGCTGACTCGTCCTCACTGAAGAAACACACGGTCATCCACACGGCAGAGAAGTCGTTTCTTTGTGAACAGTGTGGGAAAAGTTTCAGTGGAAGTAGAATTTTGAAAGTCCACCTGAAAACTCACAGGAAGTGTGAAGCTTGAGCTCTGGCCACAGGAGTCAGGCGACAGATCAGTCCAGAAACATCTTTCAATTCTCAATAAATGTTTTTCTTAGAGCTGTGGCTCTGCGACGTAAAAGGAAGAAAGCAGCGTGACGATGGAGCTGCAGATTTCATTTTGATGAGAGACGGTCAAAGGTCTTTGGTCATGTTTCCCTAGGAGAAGAGAGACTGTTACCTGGATGAATAAAGGAGAGCTGCTGGCAGGTGAATTGTGTGGTGTCACCAAACGCTCCAGGCTGCAGCTTCCTGTGGATTTCAGAGCTGTGAC